TGAGTGGGGTATTTATGCTTCACTGCGGCATGGTATCTCAGTGGGCTAGCACTATAAAACCAGCTTAAATCTGGGCTAGTACAAGCAGCCGCACATACACATACACACGCATGCACGTCGTCATATGAGTGAAATATTCTCAAGCACGACGTTAATCCCCAATTTCACCTCACCTCACCTTTCTGAAAAACAGTCAAGTTTGTCAACTTTCAAAAGTGGAGATTTTGATACGACCCCTTTCAGTTGTGCCTGACTCGGATGCATGTTGTCTAAATATGTTTTTCAGTTGTCTTTCAGACAGTCCAACTGTGCGTTTAACAAACTTACCCAGGGCATATTTAAGGCGACCCCTTTCACTTTCACCTTTAAAAAACTTTGAAAATAATGGACTTGATGTCAGAGATTAATTTCACTGTCTCGTGTACCGTGTCAATAAATCGATTGGCTATGCTTGATGTGACGTCACAATTGCACGTGCTTCCCGCCCTTGCGGCTGTTCCTGCAACAGTACTACTGTTACTTTACCCACGTAAAACGTCACACGGAAAATCAAACAAAATGATGATAGTTTGTTAAGTAACATTTTTTATTTTGGAGACAAACGTTATGAAACTTTTGATTAGCTGAACTGGTCACGTGTTATTGCAATCATTTCCCGATGACTGTAAATACTTACTGCGCGGTACTTTGACCACCACAGACTGCTTACCTGTGTCATCATTCAGAGGACTTTTGGTTACATTCCTGAGCGTCCAAACCACTCTTCGAAAAAAGGAGGCCAAGAAGGAAAGAAAACCCCATGAGGGCCTGTGTCCTCCAGTTCGCCTGTTTTACAGAAATTTCATGTGTTCGATTTTCATTTCGAACTCATATTTATTTCCACATGTGTCTACCCGATCTCATCCTCGATAACTCCAGGATATACTGACTGACTGACTGAGTTTGGTTTTTCGCCGCTTTTAGCAATATTCCAGCAATATCACGGCGGGGGACACCAGAAATGGGCTTCACACATTGTACCCATGTGGGGATTCGAACCCGGGTCTTCGGCGTGACGACCCAACGCTTTAACCATTAGGCTACCCCACCGCCCCCAGGATATACGTTCGATAACCCACCACTATAGTTATAGAGATATCGAGAATGACCAGATCTCAGAGAAGCAATGTTTGAATATAGCGGTTACTGATGATGTCGTTTGAAACAGCCGCCTGACGTATTTCCTTTTGTTCTCATTGTCTTAAGTCTTGATTGACACATCTTATGAAGTTTTCATGCTACTCTCCATTGATTGGTTCCTGAATGTATGGGCGTGTCCAGTTGTGTGGGGGAATGCACATTAAATGAAACACCAAGAACAAGTAGGGTTGGTGTTAGTTAACGCTCATCACGTACCGCACGTGCATTTGTTTCACTGTTCCAACTACTAGGCTTACCCCCTTGTTATACAAACCAATAATAGCGATTTGAATCTATGCTCGTTTGTTAAAGAACTTTTATCCTAAGATGAATATACTTAGTCAAAAAAGAAACTTCACAAAATGTAATTTGAAAAATAATGAATAATTTTTCTCTGATGATACATCTATGTATCCGAAATGGGATCCCTATCTTTCGACTCTAGAAAAACGTTAGCAAAACCCACTCAAACCCATCCATTCGTCGTGCAAATGACGTTAGTGCCAAATCAGGTTTTGCACGTGCAGTCGATCACGTGATCTTCGCATCGAAGTTTTCTTCATATGCACGTGTTTGCATTGGCCTCAAGAATTGATAAAACACTTTTAAACCACAGTTCTAACGGTACTTGAAATGCCACGATTGTCAAATGTGCAACGTGGACGTGCCGTTGGCATGTTGCAAGCGGGAAGATCAGTTATTGACGTCGCAAGAGCAATGGGATGCAGCCGTCGTACTGTGTATGACTTGCGAGGTCGTCTACAACAAACTGGCACCACTTCTGATCGCCCAAGGTCGGGTCGTCCACGTGTGACGTCATGAGCAGAAGACCGTCAAATCGTCCTACGTCACCTACGTGACAGATTTCTGCCGGCTACACGAACCAGGGCTGAGATGTTTAGAGGTCGACTGTCCTCACAGACCATTCGAAATCGGTTGCGGGCTGCCAATCTCCCTTCTCGACGTCCATATCGTGGGCCAATATTGACGCCGTTTCATCAACGTCAACGTCTGCTGTGGGCCCAACGTCACCTCCGATGGACCCAGAGAGACTGGAATCGAGTCGTCTTTAGCGATGAATCCAGGTTTACCCTCAGATTCGCGGACGGCAGGCATAGAGTCTGGAGACGACGTCGTGAACGGTATGCCCAATGTTGTGTACAGGAAGTCGACAGATTCGGGAAGCGGATGTTGCATGGTGTGGGGTGCTTTCTGTGGGAACAACAGTTCCCGACTTCTGGTCATCCGTGGAAACGTCACAGCTGCTGCTTACCGCGACCAGGTGCTCACCCATGAACTCGTTCCTTTCATGGCGGCTCATGGTCCAGGCCTACAGTTCCAGCATGATAATGCTCGGCCGCATACCGCGATGTTGACACGAAATTTCCTTCAAAACGCTGGAATCAACGTCATGGACTGGCCATCGAGGTCCCCTGACCTTAATCCAATAGAGCACGTTTGGGATGCACTTGGGAGAAGGCTTCGTGATCTTAGGAACCAACCTCAGAATTTGCAATAACTTGGCGCTGCCTTGCAAGAGCAATGGCGCAGGCAGTCGATGATGAGTCGGTGTTTGGCAGTGGTGAATGCGCGGGGCGGCCATACACGATATTGAACTGAGAAATTTCGCATTTTTATTCTTGTGATTTGACATTCTGTATACCCATGTTTTGGAACGGCGGTGTAGCCTAATTGAACTGATGAAGGCACTGCCAGTGTATCGAGTACATCACACAGATCTCAGCAATGAAATAATAACAATTTAACCATCTTACCATCTCTTGTTCTGTTATAGTGCGTTTTCACTGCAAACAGGCTATAATGAACATACACACAGTGTATATGCAAAAGGCATACAAAAGCTTGGTTTAATATTATGCTGTTATACTTAAAAACACAAGTTATAAAATGCCGTCTCAAAATGTTAACAGACATGTTACAAGCAAATTTTACACGCCAGCATTCAGTTTCATAATCTTGTATTTATCGCTGAAGACAAAGCAATATATTTTGTAATATTGTGCGTGCGTGAGTGCGTGTGTGCATATATCACATCTGTCCATCTCTTCACTGAGCTTGATGTCTTAGGATTCGTCAGCCTGAATAATAAAGAGTTTCAGAGGCCTGATTGATACTCGGCAGCCACTTTCCCCATTAATCAACAACAGGGGATTTCGATGGAAATTCTGTTTACACCATTACATAAACTGTGTATGCAATTCATAGTTCATTTTTATTAAATTATCATACATATTATTTTGTTTATCTGAAAACATTCATTCAGGGTATCCATTCATCTTTACGTGCAAATGATCAGAGGCATTGAGATATGTATGACAAAAAGAGTTTTTTCCTGATTCGTCAGAAAGATGAGACCTAATTTTGAAAGGATGTAAAAATACATCTTTGGTGTCATAAACGTCTCTATATTTATCCCTATTATCCCAAAGGCTGCCATCTTTTACAAAATGAATGTCATTTAACATCTGAAGGCCATAAACGATATTTGCAAATCCTATTTCCACCATGACATCATGTTTCAACAGCAGGTTAGCCACAAAAGTGAAATTCTCTTTAAAAGAAGTTGGCACGTACATGAAATCACAGCCTTGAATAAATAAATTTGTAAAATTATTGGAGTTGCGCTGAAAATTGTGCAGAAAGCGATGTGCCAAGGATTTGGGTGACTTTAGCAGTGACATATTTCTTATTTCATCAATGACCGCCAATATGGCTGGTTTACCCTGTTTCCACCATTCCCACATGGGTGTAACCTCCTCGGCAGAGGCATTCTCACGCCTGCCCCCTGTATGTAGCCAGATCTTGCCACGAGGCAGCTTGTATATATTCCAAGGGTTGATCAGTGTATCATCCCCAATCTGTAAAAATCCTTTCACATCAACATTGAGCTTCATAGCTTCAATAAGGCATTCATACATGTACATCCATCCTCTCTTGAAGAGCTCCATGTATATGAAATACCCTGAGGTGGTATTCTGAACCTGGGATATAAACTCCTTGATGTTTGGTCCACAGAAAATGATGTTGTTGAAATATGGGCGATACATGGCTTGTAATAATGGAATGTTTGAATACAATGATGGCTCGTTAAAGGATATAATAAGTGCTATATCATTCATGGTTTTATGAGGGAATGTTATGTTAGTTTTTGGACAAACTTTTCGAAGAATGGCCTCTTCCTCTTTCCTTACAGATGTGGAGTGTGTCGGTGTAGAAATAAGTCCTGCTGTAAGATCTTTCTTTAAATGAATGATTTTCTGCTGACTAGTCCGTTTTGGAAGTTGATAATGGATAGACCTTAAATCAGAAACCCATCGGTCCACTAAATGTTTATCTCGTAAAGTAACGAGTTGATGGTCTTTCATGAGTTTGACCAAGTCACTCATGCATTGTAACACATCTAAATCTGCTTTACATTGCCAATACTTCAACAGATCTATTAAAGGTTTTGAGGAAGTGTTGTTCAGTGTATCCGACTCTTGTTGTACAGACAAGGGATAAATCCCAGCTCTGCCCCCTATATCCCATATGACTCGTTGCGCTATAAGATGCCCGCTTTTGATACTCATCAAAGGAAGAGTCCAGAGGGCACTGTACTGGAACATCATCAGACCTGAACTAAAGAAGGTGAATGTTTTGAATGGAAGGAAAATTGGAGGTTGTCGATTAATGGATTTAGAATATGTGGCCTGTTCTTGTGGTGAGTATGTACGTCTTCTAAGCATTTGGGGATAAAATACTGAAAGAATCACAGGATTTAAATAGTCTTCAATGTAAAATGCCTTAAATGGCGAGTTCTCTTTCAAAAGGCTGTTTGATTTGTTTCCAGTAATGGTTGGTTCAAGGAACGTTTTGTTTGTCATAAGAACTAAGCCAGACCGGGGAAGATCATCAGCTATTCTCTTCAAGGTTTCCAACACAATGGTATTCACGTGATGAAGGAGACACACGGCATTTGCTCCGTGAGATATGGCATAGATGTAAGCCTTGTTTACATCATCAGCAGCTTCATCTGATGTGCTTATTGTGTTCATTGTAACACACCATGGTAACCTGTAAGTAAAGAAAGTGAATGAATGGTTTGTGACATTGCCTTTGCTGTTTTGTAGTGTCGCACTCACCATTATTCCCCCTCTTTGACGGCATCAACCCGTGCAGTCAGATGTCATCAAGCACCGTACATGCAAGAAGAAAAATTCGTATCTGGACGTTAACGTGGTGTTGATATTTCAGAGGAAACCAAAATATCACAAGGATCATCGGATCCTGATTTCTTTGTTCAAGTGTTTCTCACTTCAATTTAGAGTTCACAAAACGTTTTTAATGCTGACCCCGGATTTAAAATATTTGCATTCAAGTAGCAACAAGAGAACATCAAGGTTATTTTGACATTGTCTAAATAATCTCAGTTCTCTTACTTACAACACGGTCCATTAAAGCCTTTACCGTTGAACTGTTACAGGTGTTTGACCTAGTTTGAAGTGAACTAAAAATGCATTCCGATATTTGAAAAGGGGATAAATGTTCTGCACAAACAACACTTCAAACTAGTAGGAAGGTGGAAATCAAACCTTGAGTGGAAATCACGAAGTGTTACGGGAAGATGAATAAGTTGACATTTACCACTGCAGGGGGAATTAGTCGGAAGCAAACCAAAAAGTTTATTTACTACAATTATGTAGTTAATAGTGAATGTGTAAAAAAATGATAACTTTAATACTCAAACTATTTAGGATGTAGCTACCATGGAGCCTCACTATCACCTTAAAAAACAGGTAGGAGGGGTCGTCTCAAAAGCAAAACCAGGACGAATGTCGCAGACGGTGGTTGGGGTCAGACTGGGGGATAGAGATATCAGCTAAGATAAGATAATCCTTTAGGGGAATTAAACTGGGGAAGTAAACATCATGTCATAACAATTTACAAAAATACCCAGTCCTGTCGATCTTCAGGTGGTCGTGCCACCTATATATTTTGAGACATTTAATTCGATGGCTGATATAAGCTTTTCTGTGGGTATCATACTCTTTTACTTATCTCAACATAAACTTTATGAAAGAAAATCACGTGAGATGCTAATCAATATATGAGACATTCAACACACGAAAAGGCATAAAATATCTTTGAGATGACCCCTTGTGTCTGTAGGCAGCACGTGCATTTCATGCCAGGTGAGTCGACGGTCCGTCGTCATACCTGGCTGAGCGACCTAATTGTCATCTATATTCTGATCAAGATCTATCTACGTTTTGCCCGATTTTACGAGTAAACACGCTGTTCTGGATATCCTATTACGCATCCCAGTGAATGCCCAGTTAGGCCGAAGTGGGTTATTTCGACATATGCTATTTGCAGTTGTGTAAATTTTAGGGATGCAGAGTACTAGCCTAAAAACAGTTTTTTTCTATTTCCGACATAACTTTAGGGAGGAAATCACGATGCGTTACGAGCAGATGAATAAGATGTGACTTTTACCACTGCAGGGGAAAAAACCCCAAAGAATCAGAGTCAGTACTACTTTTGGATTTATACCCACGATCACACGATTCTGGCATACTAAAGGGAAGTAATTATAATTAAATCAGAGGCCAAGATAAGCTGCGTATCCGGGTAAAATACGTATATAAAATTTGCAATTACTCATTGAAAAATAATTGTTGCGTACCAATTACGCATTTAAAATGTTAGATACGCAAAAAGTTTAAAACAAATGCGTACGGAATATATTTATAAAAATCGTTTGCGTAATGAAAAAGACATCGATTGCTATCAAGTTGTACTGTTAGTATAGGAAAAGTGTTGTAATGTCAGTATAGGATGAGGGATTTGTATGAAATTATTTCCATTATATTTAAGTTGGTTTTGATTAGGTATGACATAAGGCAGAACATACCTGCTTAGTAAACTTACTCAATGACATAATACTTAGGCGAGTAAAATGACTGAAATACGCACATATTTGAAAGCAGTGGGTAACGGAAAATGAAATACCCTCTCAACATTCATAATACCCACTCCCAAAAAATACAGTGGGTACAGTACCCACATGAGCTAATCTTATCTGGAGCTCTGTCAGACTTGAAGTAACCCTTACCCGCCAACTGACAAGGCACGTTACACAATATGACCATCCATGCCCTGTGAGTGGAAATGTCTTCTTTTCATTGACGTTAGATGCAGAACTGCAAAGTTTCAGCAGAAAATGACCGTGAGCATGGATACCAATGCTCAATATTTTACCTGCAAGCAGATTCTGATTTTGTTGACCTTTCCAGCAACAATACTCTCCACCCTGCCACTCTGATGTCGTTCATCTCAGCAACCGCTGATAGGATGAGCCATTTGTCACGTGCAGCAGATATGTTCTGACGTACGGTATAGGGGACATCCCTTGAAAATAAACAGACAAATGTTTGTCACCACAGTTTTGCACATGGTAGATCACCACACCATAGTCTAAACATGATGTGAACACTGGCTACTTACTAGTTAACTGATCTTTTGATTTTACAAGATATATATATATATATATACACTTTGCTATGATCTATACAAAAATATTAAGTTACATCTTTTTGTCCAATTTCTGGATAAATAGCTGCGCCTTTGCTTACTATGATGTTAGACATATTAAACGACAAAATCTTTTCTACATCCATAAGAAGCCACTGCTAAAGGCAGAGTCAATTGTACAATTCCAGCTTTAGCATGTGCTTACAATCATTTCGTGGCCAAGTTGAGAATGTTTGAATATATGGTATACCACAAGAGTTATTTCTTTATTGTAAGGACAGTGGAAACATTTTCAGCTATGAGCATGAATAATCTTACAACAATGTACGTTTTAGTAGAAAACCGTAACTGCTCTAGCAATAGAATGTATGAGAACATCAATTTTGTGGGAGTCTCGGAACCATTCTGTCACAACAAGTAAACCTGATGTTTATGTATTAGTGAAATAGTTCAGATAATGTGACACCACTTTCGATTTTGGAAATTTATTACGAGGCATTCATATTTATCAGAAGTTAAGGAAGACATTTTTAACATACATTGTGGCAAGCCTCAAAGAACGCTCCTCCTGATATAATCTGCTTAGACATCTATGTAATAACGTTTTGTCTAAAAGTGATTACATTCATCCATTAATCAGTTCATTCATCTGTACATTGTGGCAAGAAACTGGGATCCAGTGGATTGCCAATAAAGTCTTTTAAAAGACATCTGCTTAGAAATCTATATGATAATGTGTTGTCTTAAAGTGATTACATTCATTCATTCATTCATTTCACTAAAATATTACAGAACATGAAAAACGCAAAAGAACAAAGCTAAAACAGTTACATCGACATGGACAGGTGAAGACTTACCAAGCCTTTTCAGCTGATTTCAAAGGCCCTATCAGTTTCCTCGAACTCATTTCCCTACCACAATATGTCAACCTGAGAAAACGGTTCCAAAACACTGCACATAAGTATGGAATATGAAATGAGATACTTCACAATTTCTATCAGCCCCTTGCTCGCGGGATGGAACACAAAAGAGCACATTTTAAACAGTTACTGTTTAATTACAATGGTCATGGTTTTAGTTAAAGTTGTGTGGTTAATCAGTAGGTTGGTTTATGTCCAAAAGTTTAGCAGCTGTCATTTTAATGTGTATAAAACAAGATCATATATCGGCAGATTTTGCCCGATAGCTCTAATTGGAGTGCACTTGCGTTTGGAGTCGAAAAGTGGTCCGATATAGTTTTGTGCAAAACACTCATTTTTTAGTGTCTGTGGGAGCGGAATTAGCTAGTATGGAAGCTTCTAGGCGGGTGCACCTATGCAGCTTTTTTCCCCCATTGCTATCCTACTATATCTCACATAAAAAGTATTTTAAACAGTTGTAATAACCCTAGTTGTGTTTGTAAACAGTGGCTAGTCTCAATGGTTGAATCAACTCTTAAAGATCATTATATACAGAAATGGATGGAGGATATTCATATAAGTTCAAAGGGTAATTATTATAAACTGTTCAAAGATCTGCCATGGTTTGAAAAGTACCTTCTATTACCTGCCGGCCCATTATGTCATTTCGGACAACGAACTACCACTTACCAATAATAATGTGCTGTGCCTTGATTGTTAGCGCTATGAGTATACCTAGTGTGGAGTTTGGCGCTATATAAATGGACACATTATTATTATTACCAATAGAGACTGGCCTCTGAAATAATATACCAAGAATAAACTGTAATCTAGCCGACGAATTCCACTATCTATTTAAATGCTCGTTCCTTGACAACATGAGATCCCAATATATCCCCACATATTACAGTAAATGGCCGAATCTTGTCAAATTTAGGCTATTGTTTACCTCAGATGATTATTCACTTTTTAATGATATTTCAAGATTTATAAGAACTATCAATAACACTATAAGAAGATAAACACTGATATATTCACTGTTACCAAGTGAGCATAACAACTCATGATCATCATTTATGTTATGACTTTATTTGTACTGTTCCTGTACCACCAATGGAATATCATGTTTCCAATCATGGAAATTTTTGGAAATCACCATTTTTTTTCTTGTGTTTATGGGAATAAGTATTGAATTGAATTGAATTGTTACTCTTTAACAGAACAATAAATTACACTGCCATGATAGATTTCTTTTTCGAAATGATTATTTCTTTAAACAGTGTAATATACGCCTTTATACCTACCCACTATTATCCCCAGATTGTGAGGTTGGTGGAATCCGTGCATGATTCAGCTTTGACAACTCAGTCCAATAAAACTGATACACAAGAACCACGAGTACCAGGACAAAGGTCGAGAGGAAGATCCCCTTTTCTGTCAATGAAAAAATAAATCAATTACAGTGTACATAAAATAAGTGTACACAAAATATGAAAGTGGTGAAACTGTTCTTGAAGTATGCTATACCCCGCTTAGATACATTGTAGTGACTCCGAGAAACCAGTTCTTCTTTTATCCCTCAAATGCCGACCGACATACAGCGTGATAATAATTACCACAATAAGAAAGTCGGTCACACTTTAACATACTAAAATGCACATGTAAAGTACGTGCTTCATACTTTATCTCAAAAGTTGTGGATCGCATGACCACGTGATAGCCTAGGCGCTATGAACATTAGGGTATAAATGTCATGATTGCATTATGAGTACAACTGTTTTCTGAACGGACATAAAAGATGGTAAGTATTTGCAACAACTGATTATCACAAATTGAAAGATTTGAAATATTAAAATTTATCAATTTCACTCGCATATGTAATCTCATAAAATAACTATTGGCTCAATACATAATGATTCCAAGTGGTCATACAAAAAATATATGAATGAGAATATATATTAGGCACCTGTTCGTCTCCGCATCATTACCCACGTGTCGTTGTATATAAATGGCTTGATGCCTGTACCGGGAGCTGAAGGTTTGTGACGAGGCCACAACACGTCCGTCCAATCTTGATAGCAAGGTAGACGTGCCTGAGACAGCCACCGATCTAACACAAGAAACAAATCGAAGATTTACAAAATTACAATTTTGTAAAGTTCATATTTACTACAAAAAATAATTTTTTTGTCAATTTCACATTGAGAGTGAGTGAGTGAGTGAGTTTAGTTTTACACAGCTTTAAAAGCAATAATCCAGTAATATCACGATGGGGGACACCACAAACAGACTTCACTCATTGTAACAATGTTTGGAATCGAACCTGGGTCTCCAGTGTGACCACTAGGCTACCCTACTGCCTTGATCATCAAGGAACGAGTTCCATAAATAAGCTTAATCTGCATCCTTCTTGTTCTGTGTTTCAAATTTGATATTGACAAAATTGATAAGACCGATGTTATATTTACTATTATTATGGCTGGTAGTTCTCAAAACACCGTTTTAAGTGTATGTTTTATCCCCAAAAGCGCAAATATGTTCAATTTGCCAATTATGTCATGATAAAGTAGTCTCGTCAGTTGAATATCTAACTGATGTAGATCGACCTGTACCAAGAGGAAATTTCTGGTCATGAGCTAATAAGTAAATATATATTTCCCTTCATTACATGTGTCATCCAAGCATCATGTATGTCATTATAATGGTCTATGATCCATTTCATCACGCAACCTATATCTCATTCAATAATCGGAAGCCTCATTTGATAGCAAGAAAAATGTCATTGTACCAGTTGATTTTGAAGTATGACATAATTTTCATTCTATATGTACCACAAGTGTTCCAACCGATTGCCATTATGTTTATAGAGTATGAAGTTTCAGTATATATGACTTACTCTTAACAGGTGTAATTGATTGCATACTGTTCTCTCGAATTGGTACTAGGGCTTTTTTGAAATAGGAAAGTTTTGTGCCTCGGGACATTGTTTGGCATGTAGATTTACACATGACAGAAATATCAATAAGAGGGACAAGTTAGTCATCATATTCCGGTTGTTAATAGCGTGTCTTTGTGACGTTTGTATCTATATTCCTGTGTCGGCTATACAACAGATTTACAGTCAATGCTTGGTGACTGCTTGAACAGTATTAAGCTGAGCTCAGTTTGAATGGAGTGTCGTAAAAATAAGCGACAGTGGGCCATTTATACATAATAATAATAATAATAATAATAATAATAATAATAATAATAATAATAAGGGCCTGATGATGTACGCCTCTCCGTGGTGGGCCTAGATAGGGGAATTATATTCCCTGCACCAAACGTGCATCACCCAGTTAAGGCTGACCCCCCGAAGCTGGTTTTTAAATGGGTTACAGACAGCCAAAAGGAAAGTTTAGATTCACTTCCGCAGCCCAGTCAGCCTTCCTCCGGTAGTGAAACCAACCATACTGGAGATGGGACTTGCCCCAGGGGAAGGCACAGAACCCGACCAAGAATATCTTGGTCAAACCACCTTAAAACCACACTACTTGAGTGTGCGAGAGCGACAGGATGGCCTGAAAATCCACGTATCAATGGCAAGTCGCTGAAGCTGCATTGGGACAATGCCATGCCCATGTATGCTTACCTGACGGAGCAAAATCTCCGAGATCAATTCCGGCGGCTTAAAAATCTCTTGCCCCGTGAGCCAGTTCAACCCACAACTGGTGCCCGTCAGGAACCTTTGCATGAACAGAATGCTCAAGTGGCAGCAGACCCAAAACTTCGAATGGACGTCCATGTCAACCTCTTTCCTCTTGCTGATGGAAACTCTTCCAGCATAGAGCCAATTGGCCCCGAAATTTCAGACCCTCACTCTTCCTCTTCCTCAGTTGCAGATCTTTCTGAAAATCCTGTGTATATTTTGTTTCATTCTATTTATGATGAAATATCTGGCATACCTTTAGAAAATCGGAGGCCTATCAAACAAACAAATGAATCTTTTCCCAAAAATGAAATTAATTTATTAAATGATATTATGTCTATGAAACTTTCATCGGACTGTTCATTACATGAAGTTAATTGTTGTGTCTATGCTGCCGTTCGAACCTTGGAGGAACTTCACACAGTTTCCAAAGAAAACACATCCAATACTAAGAAGACTACACCAAAGAAAAACCGGTTTCAAGTAAAACTAACGGAAACTAGAAAATACATTTCCTGGATAGAGCTGGATAGTTAAGATCATCAGGCAGTCCAATGTCAAAAAGACAAAAGGCAATTTGGAGAAAATTAAAACTGAAATATAAAACAACGAAAGGAAAGATACTTCTCCAAATTGTCGATTCCCCTTAAGGCCAAAATAAAGGTTTGGACTGAAAGAAAGAAAAAATGGGAAAAGAAAAATAAATTCATCAAACAAAATAAACTGTTTAGAAACAATGAAAAGCACTTCTACAGGCAACTGAAAGCAAAGGGTGATGGTGAACATGACAAACGGCCTCCCATGGATGCCAATGAAAGGTTCTGGAAACAGTTGTGGTCTGTACCCGGCAACTGTAACCTTGAGGCACCATGGGTCCGTGATTATGACCATGCAATGCATGAGAAGGTAACTAGGTCGTTTGTCTGTTACATCTCACCAGATTGCCTGAAAAGTGTTATAAAAAAGTCCAAATCAAATACAGCTCCAGGGCCTGATGGCATTCGAAATCGGTATTGGAAACTGTTCCCCTGTGTCCAAACACCATTACTACACTGTTTCAATACTCTTGTGGACACAGGTGATGTTCCTCCATGGTTCTGCAAAGGTCGCACAATACTTCTCCCCAAGAAAGGAGACTTGACTGATCCAAAAAACTTCCGCCCTATCACATGTTTGAATACACAATACAAAATATTCACAGGGTGCTTGACAAACCTCGTGTCATCTTACTGCTCTTCCAATGATATCATTTACAGAGAGCAGAAGGGAGCAAGAAAGGGATGTTGGGGGTGCAAGGATCAACTTCTTGTACAGAAAATGATTTTGGAAGAGGCTAAAACATATCACCGAAACCTCTCCATGTGCTGGATTGACTACAAAAAAGCATATGACTCTGTCCCTCACGAATGGATTCTGAAGTCTCTTCATTGCATTGACCTCCCTCAGCGACTACTTGATTTACTCAAGTCTTTAATGAGTTGCTGGTCGACTCAACTTGAGATGTACTCGCTGGGGCAGGTGCAGACTTCGGAATCTATTCCAATCAGAAGGGGAATATTTCAGGGGGATACCTTTAGTCCTTTGCTTTTTTGTCTGTCTTTAAATCCTTTGAGCTTTCTGCTCAATAAAGAGGAGGGTTACCATCCCGGACCTCCTCAGCACAGATCCCCAACACCTCTTACTCATCTCCTTTACATGGATGATATCGAGCTCCTTGCCAAAGGAGATACCAATTTGAAAGAGCAGGTTCTCCTTGTCGAGTCCTTTTCGAATGATATTGGCATGACATTTGGACTCGACAAATGTAATACTCTTCATTTGAAACGTGGCAAGGTAACTAATGATGGATCGGTCAAGTTACAAGGGGGGAGGAGTTATTGAGCATCTTGTGGAAGATCAGGCCTACACCTATCTTGGAATGCAAGTTCGAGATAAGCTCCAGAATGCCCAGATTCAAGACAAACTTCGGGCCGAGTACAAATCTCGTTTAAAGAAAATCTGGAGCTCAGAGCTAAATGCTCGAAACAAGGTCAAAGCCACCAATACTTTTGCTGTGCCAGTCCTCTCCTATTCCTTTGGAGTAGTTGATTGGACGAAACAAGACATCCAGAGTCTTGACCGCCTGACCAGAAGGATCATGTCTGATAACAGAGCCCACCACCCTCGTTCCTCTCTTAACCGTGTATATATGCCAATCAATTCTGGAGGTCGGGGTTTGATTAATGTGGAGGCTCTTCATGATAGAATTTTATTGTGTACTTTTGCACATATTTATTTATCGGATGATCCTCTGGTGATGCATGTGAAGACTCATGATGAAAGCAAGGAATTCCACAGCTATTTTAAGCGTGCCAAGGTTGTTGGACAGAATCTGAAATTTGAGGTTGAGGTTGCTGATGGCGATGTACTGCTGGACGGTACAGCGATGGGAGTAAACCAGGTGAAGTCCTTCACCAAGTCTGCCCAGAGTCGGTCTTTTGTGGAGAAGCTTTCTGAGAAGCCATTGCATCGTGTGTACATGCAGTGTGTTGAACAGGATAGCAATCCCTCCGACTCCTTCGCCTGGATGAAGTCGGCTGGTCTTAAATGTGAAACTGAGGGCTTCCTTTTTTGCTGCTCAGGACCAGTCACTTCCCACTCGTAATCGCCTAAATGTGATTCTTAAAGAGAATATTAACATGAAATGTCGACTTTGCAATGAATTCACAGAGACTGTCCAACACCTTGTCAGTGGATGCCCTTCCTTGGCA